TTCACAGTTTTTGAATTAGATCTTTAAAGATGCCATCTACTACATCTATTAGATTAGTAAAGGGCATAGTGGAAAACTGTAGGAAATACATGTCTTTTTTATTGTTCATACCTGATATCAATATGCTTGATACCAATATTCATTCTCCTGTTGGTGATAAAGTTGCACTGCAAAGTAAAAACTGATAAATGTTGGGACTTTGTATTCAAATCCCATTAAATTGGTAGCACATAATTCAAATTACTCAAATATACACCCATCTTAGGTCCTTATTCTTCAGCCTCTCTTGTTTACCAATTTTGACACAAGTAGATACAGAACTATCCGTCTACCTATCTATCAGTCAAACACTATTTAGGAGAAGATCAAAGTTGTCTTAGAAAGTGTATGAATCAGTAAACTAAAACCTGAGAGATGCAAATTGTATCTTAATTTCTGCCTTCTATGTTATTTAGCCACTCAATAAATAATCATAGGAATATATCTAGTCAATGAACTAGTGGATTTTACATAATTCTTCTAAATATTAAATGAGAAAAACATTTAATCCTTTAATAATGTAACAGCACGTAAATATGGTGAACTTTACTCATTTCGACTTAATTTTCATACTAATACCCCAATAGCAAAAAGCAGCTTCAATATCAGTTTCTCAAAGAAAGGGAAGACATGCAGTAAATGAAATCATTCATGTTGGCTGACAGAAAACGAACATTTTTAATAACTGTCAAGGAATATACTTTAATGAAAATACATAACAGGATAATTCTCCAAGAAATGTGCGCAGCTATATTGTGTATTGTGGCTGGTAACTATAAATTCATTTAAAATGCAGTTTTTGGATACATAGAAAACAAAGTGGCTTTGATCCAATGTTTTACATGTGGTCTGAATATAATTTACAGTAAGATGTTAGGAACAGAGAAATAGTAAATGTTTAAGTTTGGTTATAATATTTTGGATATTTTATTTAGAAAATAATTGTGTCTTGAGAAAAAATATGAATATATGCTTCAAGGATACATTCAAATACATTATACACACTTTTTTCTGTACACACAGACACGCATACAGAAAACTAAAACATTACAACTTTCATCCAAATTTCAAATAAGAAATACTATTCAAGATAAAAGAAAAAAAAAGTAACTCCCGTTTTAAAGTACTCATTGTATGTCCCATTCCCTTGTTTTTTCCCCCATCATCTTTGTTACACTCCAGCTTGAATCTTAAGAAATACCACCTTATCCGAAAGAATTCAAAATAGTGTAGCTGGGAACTTAAAGACAATTTCTAAAATCCGAGAAATCTATGTGGGCTTGATTCCTGAATTCATTGTGTCTAAGCTGCATATTCAAGTAAACTTCATGTGACTCTGAACCTAATTTTTAGAGGAATGTTATACTGTGACCCCACAGACAGCTTCTTAATACTAGCTTCCCAAGGGGGGGGGGGGAACCTGTTTCTGCAAAATACACTGGCCATATCTGACAATGGATGGTTTTAGTTTAATTTCAAATGTGTCCTGAAGGATAAGGATTTTTTTCTAAGAAGGAGTAAGTACATTAAGTAGCATAAATAATTGTCCTTTACCCAGGAAGGACAGATGGCCATAAACAATTCCACACTGAGCCATGGGCACCAGACAATGGTTTGACAGGACAAGTCAGGCATTAGAAGGAGCAGTGCTACAAAACTGGTAACAAAATGTCAGATGGATTGTGTGAGCAGATTTCTACAAAGTAATGCAACAGAAGATATTCATACCTTATATAAATTCTCACTAAAAGAATACTCAGCAGAGGAATATCTTAACAGTGAAGGGGAAAATGACCCATTTTCTACACTTTGGAGTTTTTCCTATCTAATTTGTGCTTTTATAATGTCTCAAAAATAGTGACCATGGAAGAAAGGATGGAGTCTATGTAAATGCTCTGCAGTGCAGACTTCCACTCAACAGAGATGGTTTAGCCAGAGCTACTGTTGAGTGGCCAAATTAGTAAATGGATAGACCAACATTATCCTCACTTAGCACTGTCCCTTGAGGGAAAGATCTTCCATCCAACAGTGCCAGGCTGACTGCCTTAAATAATTTCCATCATGCAATAAGCAGTACTTAGTTCTTATTTGGATATACATTACATATATAGATTTAAAGTAAATAAAGTATCTTCCCATAAATGTGTGAAAACTATCATGCATGGACTTGCAAAGTTTCTTAATCAGCATCATGGTGTACTCATTGTCCTGAGTTAGACCAACACTGCAACAAATGAACACAATGATTCATGCTATGAGAATTACCATTTTCACCATGTTTCCTACCATAGGTAGAATGCTGTAATGGCTTTTTAAAGTGTTAGCAACAATTCAGTGACATTCAGGATGTTGGCTATGTTCTAAATAAGGAACAAATTGTCAAGAGTTAAGGTGTAAAGATTTGGAAGTCAAGAACAGAATATGAAATGGTTCCTCTCACAATTACCCACAATGATCCACTAGAGAAATGTTTCTCACAAGTTCCCATAACTTTAGGCTTTAGCAGTCCAGAAGTATTAGGCTTCCACTATGGATCATAACAATGGTGCTATTGAAGGATGTTGAGACTGCCATCCTAAGAGGAATGTGCACCCTTCTGGGAAGACAGGATGTTTTGTTTCAAGGACAATTGCCTAATTTTAGATGAAGGCATATTTTTTACTGTCTTCACTAGAAATGTAAGTATGATTAGGAAAGCTAGTCAGGTTGACGCACAGCAGTAAAAAGTAGCTTTCTAATTTCATCTTAGGTCAACTTGAACTACTTTTTCTAGTTGTACTATTTTGTTTTGCATCACTATGACAAAATATTTGAGGTGGCTAACTAAGAGAAATTTTATTTAGCTCATAGTCTGGCATGTAAGATTGAGCAACTGAATTGGTTTGGCTTTTCTCTAGTGAAGTCAGAAGATGACATTATTTCAAGAGGTCAGGGAGAGGATGACATCACACAGTTCCTTCTGGTGATTAAATGCTCTCACTCTAGCCCTCATCTACTAGAAGTATGACCAGCTACCAATATACCACCCTGGGAACAAAACTTTTAACCTATAGACTCAATATTTAGGACATTTAACATCCAAACATACCATCAATATTCCTTTCTCTCTATGGTCAGGTTACAGTTGGCGATAAGAAAAACAAAACAAAAACAATGCATGAGTTAGGGAAAGCAGGCATGAAACACCAAACTAAGCTGGTTCAGAGTGCTAAGCATTTGATAGATTGTGCAATTTGTTGTGGAATTTCTGTCTTGCTTTCAACTGTACTTGGGCCAATATCTATCTAAACTTCTACCTATTCTTTTCCTTGAGTCTGAGCCAAATGAAAGTGTACTTCCATAGTGATGGGACACGAGTTTTCGCTGAAGGTCATTGCAGTGCTTATAGATAGTGACAAACAGGTGCATGTTCCAATTTGAAATCCTGACTTCAGTGTTTCCTTCTCATTATAGTTGGCCCTAGTTCTTCCCTACTGCACATCAAGTGTTCCTCTACTAAGACCATGTTTTGTTCCAAACACAGATAATCGTCTTATACAGATTTTTCTACCACTTATCATAGTTACTTTCATTCTAATTCCCACAATTAATCCTACAGGCTGTACTATGCATGGTTCTTCTGTCCCTTCACTTTCACAAAAGAAAAGTGGCAAAAAAATACCGTCTGAAAAACAGAAAATTTATATAACAGAAAGCTAAACATAGACTGCCCAAGCACATCTATGATCAAGAAAAATACACATTAAAATATAAACTATTTCATACTTACCAATGGGGCTAATATTGGAGAATGATTTTGAAATACTGGTGAAGCATAATATGGATTTTCCCTACAACCTACCAATTTCATATGAAGGAGGGACAAGAGACTAATTCTCAAATGGCAACATGGGAAGGGAGTACATGTAATATCCTTTTCTCGCTAGAGAATAATACCAAACATGTATTTGAGCTTGAGGAACAGATACCTTGAAGTTGGTCATTCAGTGGAAAAGAAAGTACCTGTTGCCAACTGGTATACAGCCCTTCTCTCTGAATTACCTGAAGTCAACTAACAATTCATTCACTCAACCTAATAGAAAGTCTAACACATCAGAGCCTGTTCAGAAGACAAAATCAGGAAAAGCACCTGCAAACCTATCCTTTTATATAGTTTGCGCACAAAGCAATTACGTACATAAAACATATCTAATGTGAGGTGATGATAAGCACCAGGAAAAATAAGATAAAGAGGTAAAATTGAAAAAGCCAGTCCGAAAGAGATTCCAATTTAAAACAAAAAAGCAAACAAATGTCTTTTCTGAAAAGAGCATATATGAACAAAACCCAGAAAAATGTAATGAGTGAGTCATATAGAAACTAGAGAAATGCATCCCACACACAGTGAAATGACAATGGAAACATCTTGATGTGGGAGGTAAAAGCTAGTCAGTGCAGCATCTTAGGGCTCACATATCCTTCTACAAACTTTAGTTTTACCTCTGGAAAGAAATGGATGGTCATCGGGTTTTGCAGAGAGAAGCTGCATTATTAGACAATGTTTTAGAGCGATCACTCTAGCAGTTTTACTGCCAAAGACACTAGGCATGGCCCACATGTCTAGTGGGACAGAAGATTAAGAATCAAGGACATTATTTAGAAAATAGGTACAACAATTCCAGTGGTGTACTCTATCTAACAAGTTTTTTAGACCAGGGTGGAGAAAGAAGGATGCAAAAAGTGGTTAGCTCCAGAAAATATTTAAAAACAATATTCGACAAGATTTACCAGCAACTTAATTCACAAGGTACATACATGCATATACAAGCCTTAAACCAGACTTAAATATTTGTCATTCATAATTTCCTGTATACTATATCCAGTACTATAACACTGCTTTCAATCACTAAAATGAATACTTGCAATGAAAATTTTATAATTTCAAAACATTTTATTTAAGTTGTGCTACTTTTAAATGAACAGTGGAATGTTTACATAACAGGTTTGAAACAATTCTGTATACAGTATTAATGGTAATTATTCTTCTCTCCACTCTTTTGGAATAACTCGGCCAACAGGAGATGGGTTCCACTCTATTCCCATCTGAGTAGTTAAAAACACCCATGTAGTAACACAGAAAATGGCTCCACTAGTTAGCACAGTATTGCCATATTTGTCATGAAAATTTGGTAAGTGTTTCATATGGGTCTGTCTTGCTGCAATTCGCTGAATGGTTCCACTATTGAGAATATTGAGTAGTGCAGATTTGCCCAAGGGAAACATCATGAAGGTATGACAGAACTGAAGTTGACTGTAGCCCTTGATCGATATTGTTGGTCTCAGGCCTGGGAAAACAAACCAAAAAAGGCAAAATCATCAGATCTGCATTGTTCTTCCCTTTCTCAATATTTTGCCTCTACTATCCCCCCCTCTGAACTTTGATATCACAAAACTTAGTCCAGACATGGTAGCGCACACCTGTGATCCCAGCACTTGGGACACTGTAAACAGGAAGACCACTACTACTTGGAGCTCCTCAGTGAGATCCTGAAAAAAACAAAACAAACAAACAAACAAAAAAACCTCAAGTCTAGAGCTGGTTACTTTAACTTATTAGGCAGTTACTTAACTCCTCTTGTCTCATTGTTAAACTGAAATAATAACATCCAACACCAATGATTGCTACAGACATGACATGTGATAACCTAAACCAAAAATAACAAAGTATACAGTCAGTATTAGTTTTAGTACTTATCACAAACAACTAATAGTATAGTCCAGAGATAAACTTCAAACATATCAGCATGTCTAAAATGGCTATGAAACATTCTGAACTTGCCAACTAGTCTAATGCCTAACCTTCTATCAACTATAAACATTTTATTTGTTTTTTGACACAGGGTCTTACTTTGTATTTCACGCTGGACTGAGCTCAATATGCAGCCTAAATTGGTCTCAAACTAGCAGTAATCCTCCTGTCTCTTCCTTCTGAGTGCTGCTGGTATTAGAGGTGGGTGCCATTACAGTTGGATAACAATAAACTTTTGAATTTCAGTTAGAATTATAAGTAAGTCACAGTGTGTGTCATTGTTGCACTCTGCCTAAAGCTTTCATTTCTCCCTCCTGTTTAAACTCCTTCCTTTGGACTGGCCAAATAGCTCAGTGGATTAAAGCACCTGCAAACAGGCACAGGCCAGGGGTTTGATCCCTGGGCCTGCCA